GGCCCCGGTCCGGGATGGGCACGACACGGAGGGTTGCGATCCGTTGCCGGACACGAAAAAAAACAAAAAGGAATAAAAAAAAAAAAAAAAAAAAAATTCTAATAAGGAAAAGAAAAAAAAAAACAGGAAGGAAATGTTATGGTCAGCTCAAAATTATAGTCAATCATAACTATTTTCCTCAAGTCGGCCTTAACTAATCATCACCTGTATTTACCGGTAGGACTTGACTGTTTAATAGAGGATTAAAGCAACCTAAAATTTGTCAGACAATGTGATTTGAATCCCAGAATAAAAGGAAAGTTAGATAAACCTGCATCCAGGAGAATGAGACAATATTTTAGATATTCACATAAGCACACACCCAAATAAATTCGTCACATTTACCTGTGTTCCAAAAATAGAAAGCTGTTCAAAATAATGAAGTATCTGTACCACGGCAACAATGTACATGAACAAGCAAACAACTGAGACATCACCAGCATCTCATTTCCCATTGTAGAAAATTACTGAGGTTACTTTATGAGACTGGTAAAGAAAGATACCAGAAATATAAATAAAATGATCATGACCCTTAATCTTCAACACCCCAAACTCCTAAAGTGACAAAAGCAGGTATAATTAACTTAATGTGAACTTTTTAAAAGGCACATTGACTTATGTTCTCTGTTAATATTCATTTTAAGTAATTACCCATGGTACCTTACAACTGAAAATATTTGACTCCAGGTCAAGGTTACCCTTGTCTGTATAACAAATCCAGTTGAATATAACTGCTTAAATAATATCTGATACTTAAAATAGTCCAAATAGTTTTAAGGCAATAGTTGAAATGTATTGAACATGGATTGTGAAAAATTAATAAAACCTGTTATATAAAATTGCTTTGTAAATCATATATTACCCCTGAGGAGGAGTGAGTGTGTGAAAGGCAGGTTACTCTGGTGGGGCTTTTTCTATGTGGGAGGAAAGACCAAGAACAGACAGCAATCATTTCCATCCCTCATCAGCATCCCCAGGCTCTTTGTTTTAAACCATTGGATAAAACCATTAAACACTTCGGGAATCTGAGGGTGCTGTCGCCTTCATAGATCAGTCATCCCATCAGCACACTTCTGCTGTTGTTTCCATGTAGCCACATCCCCGTGCCAACTATGGTTCCTTTGGCAGCAATCCTGGGACTATTGATGGGAAATGAAAATTTGCCCAGAGACCCTGAAATGGGTCGTAGCACTTCATTAATTAAATAATTTCCAAGGTCACTCTAAGTCCATGTTTCACACCTTATTCTATTTCTTATCCAAAATTATGCCCAGGAATCTTGTAAATATATAATTTATAAGTGGTTCTACATTGAGATTACATGAAAACTTTCAGATGCTCATAAAATAAAACTTCAAAATGCCCCAAATTGCAGAAAAAAATCTCTCAGCATTATGAACTTCACAAGAAATTTGAAGTTCAAAGACTCAATTTTTTGGTCTCTGTAAGTTAAAATTGGAGGATATATAACACCCAAATTCTTAAGTGAAAAGTCCAAAGGAATTAAAGTTCAATGTCAAATTATCTGATCATGTGAATTAAAATTAAATAAAGAGATTTAAGTCCAAAATTTCTCATTCCCAACTTTTTGATCTACTTTACCTCAATTAGATGGATTCATGATGCCTGAGTGAAGCTGGGGATATTTCTTCAGCCAAATCCTGGAGTCTTCTTACTGGAATGGTATAGTTTCTTCAAAATTTTGACCGTTCCATACAACTTCAGTTTCACTAAAAAGCCGGATGTGTCTCACTTTTTAAAGATTTCACATAGTTAAATGGGGTACACAAGATTGTCATAACACTGGCATTGTTATAACATAATGCTGTCATAACACCATACTAACCCAATTTCAAAAACAAGCCAGTCCGAAGCCCTTTAGTAGTTATTACAGGCTAAATTATGGTAGCAGAACTGAGGACATATTCCAGTTCAATGACAGTGGCCAAAAACCATGGCAGAGATTCAGTGGTATTTTAGGAGAAACTCAATAGGGAACTTTGGGTGGGGGGGGTTAATCCGCTAATCTGAGCCTGTATTCCAGAATCCATGAGAGCAATCCAGCTCTGCATAACTCCCCTCCAGAGTAGCATTTAAGACATGGCTGCCTTTGTTAATAACCTCACAATGGTCACAGCCACAGATATTAAGTCTTATTTTTAAATGTGTTTCTTTCTGATCCAGTATGTTCAAAATCTCTTTAATGTCACCTTGCCTTTGAACCTTGTGTGGGTAGCACCTCGGTATGAACTTAATGAGTGTTTTATCTAGGGACACAGTATCCATATTGCCATAAAAAGGTATTCCTACTGCCTCTTACTATGGAATACTGATGCCTAAGTAACCTGCCTCCAAGAGAAGTTTTCTTTCTTTCATATATAATTATCCAGTCCAGGGCCAGTGTGAGAGCAAGTTGTAGGCAATGACTCAAGTTTATGGGTAATCCAAGCTTGACTCCTTCAGTTTCCTCCCTAACAAGCACAGTGGGGTTTGGGGTCAACCTGTTTAGGGCTACCTATCTTGAGCTAAGTACTTAATGCTAGAACCTTGCAGGAAGTCCAGGGGCCTTACGGTATAAGAGTAGGGATTATTGTTCTCTCCAGCTTTGTCTAGGAGACCTGTGTATGAAAAGATTCACTTTTCCTCTTTATTGAAAACTTGTCTTTCTGAGGCTTCAGCCCATGCTGAGGTCTTCAACTGACCCAGGAATGTGTGCTAAGACCAGCATCTATGCAATCCAAAATCAAGCCACATCAGCATACACCCCCAAACCCTGACCATCCATCGTCTTTGCTGAGGCCAGTGAAACCAGAATTTGCTTGCTAGGCTATGAGCAGCTCATGTTTGCTAAGGGTCCCTGTGTGGCTAGCATTTGGTTGGAGCTCCCTAAATAGTTTAGGCCTCCAAGAACTGTGCTTTTGCTGATGCTACACAGACTCTGCCTGTTTGCTGAGGTCACCAACCCATTCTTTCACTGAGGACCCTGCACAACATGCTGAGTATCTGGTGCATCTAGCAACGATTCTAGGAAAACAGAGTTATTCATTTTTAGACGGAGCTACCATAAACTGCAATCATTCACCAAAAAGAAAAAAAAACATTCCATGTGGCCAGTGCCTAAGGCCTTCAGCCATACGTCCAAGTCAACAGTTAAAAACAAATACATACTTTATAAGATTTTAAAATTCTGACCCACACGTTAAAATTCAAGCCCTTCTATATGAACTACAATCCCCGGTTGTGCTCCATTTCTATTCTCATTTTTCTGGCCCAGTGTACCAGTTTCTAACATTCTTATGAACTTAATTTCTTCAGTCAAATTGCGGAACACTTCTACAGGAACAGGCCTTATCACCAGAGGCCCAGAAGAGGAGCGGAATATGTATTTTCTGAAAGCAGCCCAGCTCCTAAAGGGAAGGGTTGAGAGAATGGGTTAGGCCAAGCTATATAAGCCCAGGTTTTTCTTCCAAACTCGTGGGCTGAAAAGTGAGGAGCACTACACCAAAGGGGTTTCCTGCACATGGAGGCAAATTAAGAATGAGTGAATAGCACCTTTCTCTCATAATTATTATTATTTGCCAGTAAAATCTTACTATTTTAGAAACGTTAGGTAATTCAGTCGAAAAACATCTGATTTGTGAAATAGTTTAAAAGAAAATATTGCTACATTAAGTGCATTAATACTGTAAATACAATGATAAATTAGGGGGGATTCCTTTAATAGGTAGATTAGGCTACCAAGTATGTATACCAATTGTTTATTTTAAAAAATTGTTCTCCTCTCAAAATATTCTTCATGGAAAAATAATGACTTAGAAAGCATATGCTTTTTTGTTTAAAAAAGAAAAACTCACAAATTATTAATTGCCTGCATTTAAATAGATGACTTTTCACCATATACTTTAAATTAAAAGCAGAGTTACCTACTGTGTAGGGTGCTAGAAGGATAACCCAGGTTCTATGTCAAATAACAATGTGACAGAGAAATATAACTGTGTGGCAGACAGTTTTGTCCAGGAGGCTGTGGGGCAGTGACCTTCTCCTCCCTTCTAGTTCTTTTTCCCAAGGCCACTGCCTCATCTTTGTGATCTTCCTTCAACTTATATTCATTGAACACCTACTATGTGTTGGACAAATGCTATCCCCTATATTCTCTAGGTCCTCGATGTGGCACTGCTGGGTACCATTCTTTAGCCCACTGTCTCATTCCTTTCTTCTCTCAGCTAACTCATGGAAAGAACCTTATCAGCAACAATATTTCATGATGAGGTACTAATTATTTTGAATAGCTTAATGTACGACCCAGTACCAGAGTTTTCCCATCTTACATGTAAATACACCTTGACCCAAAGGAATGAATTTGCACCTGCATCCAGTAAGAAGTCGTTTTTCTTAAGATACCCTTCTGGTTTTCTTCAAGTCACTCCACAAGCATGGCCACCTATGCTGTCTTGAGATAGAACACAGCTTGCTGTTTTGTGATTGCTTTTCTAGCTACTAAGGGCAATGCTGTTTCTTATGATGATGCCCTGTTACATTTTAATTGGGCTGATCCATTTGTTATTTTCTCTGTCTAGCCTATAGAATTGTGAGAAATGCATTGTAGAATTTGGAGACTAATAAATTGGTATGGTTTTCAAATTGCCCTATAATTATTACAGAGTATTACAAACTTCTTTCAATATGTGCAAATTTATGATAATTTAATAAATTCCATTATGTGCAAATTTATGAAAATCTAATACTTGATGCTAAAATGTGACTGATTTATTGACAGCTTATCCTGAAATGTTTGAAACAAATGCTACATGATGGGTTTTTTTTCTTTGAACTAGGAGCTGAAGCTAATTTTATGCTGAAAATTCATCCTCTGAAAAAATATCCTGTAGATCTTTATTATCTGGTTGATGTCTCAGCATCGATGCACAATAATATAGAAAAATTAAATTCTGTTGGAAATGATTTGTCTAAAAAAATGGCATTTTTCTCCCGAGACTTTCGCCTTGGATTTGGCTCATACGTTGATAAAACAGTTTCGCCATATATTAGCATCCACCCTGAAAGGATTCATAATCAATGCAGGTATCCAGTGTTTGATATGAAAAATGCTAAATGCATTTTTATATAAAATTTCACTTTGTTTTTATATAAAAAACAACAAATTTTATATTTTCATTTTATTAAGTAAGAATCAAAAATATTTGGAGGGGGGTTTGTTTCTATCTGAAAACTTCTCAGATTTTCTGTAGATTGGGCTCTGTACATTTCATTGCTTATAACAAAATACATGGAACTGGATAATTTGTAAGAAAATGAAATTTATTGCTTACAGTTTCAGAGGCTGGGAAGTCCAAAGTCCAGGGAACACATCTGGTGAGGGTTTTCTTTAGTGGGGACTTTACAGCAATGCAGGGGTCTCACATGGCAGAAAAAGGTGGAACAGAGAGAGACTCTCCTGTGCTCTCCTTTTAAAGCCTTCAGAACCACACCCATGACCATCATTATTAATCCATTCATTAGGGCATGCTCATCAGAATCTAATCACCTCTTCAAGGCCTCACCTGCCAATTACCATAATAGGACTTTTCACTCTCAACTGTTACGGTAGGGATTAAGCTTTAATGACTCTGAGGGCCATTCAGTCCACTGCAGGCCTTTTATTTTATATTTCTTCAAATATTATATCACAAAAAAGAAACCTTACTTAATATTAGCAACTTAAGATAAAACTTCAGTAATCAGGCTGCCATGTATATAAATACCTCTTTGGAAATTATGTATTTCTCTTTTTTGATTGCTCCAAAATTGTTGAATTAAGAAACATTTTAAGGTATTTATCTTACCAATACTGCATCTATCTCTCCATTACCATATTGTGACTGTGCATAATTATGTTGCTTATAATGTGACTACAAGCAAAGTTCAGCTATTTCATGAGAGTGGGGTCAAGAGAGGAGAATTTGGCTGCTTAGACAGAGCCTTTTTTCTTGTCATTTTGAAATTTTGATTCTAAAAAGCACATTCCCCACTATGAAAGAACTAACCTTAAAAATACAAGTTTCTCACAAAATACTACCAATGACTTGATGAATTTTCAGATAAATAAATCTGTATACTTCCTTTCTCATAAAACATTTTAACATCTTTCCCTCCTTCCATGCTTAGATTGCCTTAAAGTACACATTCCAATTTACAAAAACAACTCTGCTATCAGTTGTACCAGAACAGGACTGATTCATGTCCTAATGGTGTTTCATGAGCCTTTTCCTTGAATCACCTGAGGAATGATTCTCACATTATGGGATATCTTGGAATTCTCAAAATAATTTTAATGAATTTTGATTGTTCATCAAAAATTTCACACCAAGCATCATTTGAAAAATTTGTGCAACATTTTTAAAAATCAAGCAATAATATGATATTTCAACTAAATTCCAAAAAACTTTTCCAAAAAAGTATTTTTCAGTTCTACCATGGTTAACTGTAATAAGAAATCACTGCAAATTCTTATCTTCCCCTTAAAAATTTACAGTGCATATTATTATTTTGACAGCCCTTAGTTTTCTTGTATTAAAGAAATACTTTTAATCTTCATTTTTAAACATTTTAATCTTCTATTTTAAATAGTCCTACTTCTTACTTGCATGGAAATATTCACCGATATTGAACTACTTTCTCTCTAATTTTATAAGCACAGATCTGTATCATAAAATTTTCCTGGCAAAAAAAATTCTATTCCCTTCTATAGAAACTACACAATTTTGCTGTTAGTAGTATTCTGGAACTTGTAAAGAAGTATAGCAAAATAGACTTTGCACTTTTTTCCCATGTAGTGATTACAATTTAAACTGTATGCCTCCCCATGGATACATCCATGTGCTGTCATTGACGGAGAACATCACTGAGTTTGAGAAAGCGGTTCACAGACAGAAGATCTCCGGAAACATTGATACCCCAGAAGGAGGTTTTGACGCCATGCTTCAGGCAGCTGTCTGTGAGGTACGAAGAGTTTCACGTTACTGAGTAATTTGCTCAGATGCAAAACTCTCAAAGAATTTAGGATTTTTATTCGCTTTTCGATTTATGGAGTGAAAACATTATACAGAAGAATACATTCTTCTATCTCTTACTCGTCACCAATGTTATTTATTTTGGTATGTGTTAGGGACAAAGAGGCTAAATTGGGAGAGGGATATAAATAGAAAAGATAAAAGGGAAAGAATGGCTTACACACATGGAAAATGCTTTCCAAAAGGGCTGCTTTTTTCATCAGCCCACTCCAAAGAAGAACCAGAAATATGCTGTTAATACTACTTTGTAACCTGGCTTTCTCTATCTCCACTGGGGTCCTAGAAATTGTTACCAGGAACTAGTGTGGTCAAATGGCTGTGGTAAAATGAAGGATATACAAATAAAACCTATTGCTGTTTATGAAGCTCTTACGCGCATCATTGTAGACTGACTTAATGTTTGTCAACACAAACGTAACGTTTACTTGAGGTGAAGGCCACAGTACGGATCTATGTTATTGTACAAGGTTTAATTACATGTTTATTTTAAGAGTCATATTGGATGGAGAAAAGAAGCTAAAAGACTGCTGCTGGTGATGACAGATCAGACATCTCATCTTGCTCTTGATAGCAAACTAGCAGGCATCGTGGTGCCCAATGATGGAAACTGCCATCTGAAAAACAACATCTACGTCAAATCGACCACCATGGTAATGTAGCAGTGGCTCTCAGTAGCTATGATTCTTTTGGTTAAAGCACAAGGTGGAAGAGGCAATTTAGCTGGTCTTGTACCAAGAAATTGCCTTAAGGAGCAAGATACAGAACCATGAGAAGCCGTGAGAAAGAACTTATGGAACAATGCAATATATAAATTCTGATCAATAAAATATATAGCTAAAATCTCTTTTATTTTAATTACTTTTTTTTGGTAGTTTTCCAGTCCGGGGATGGAACCCTGGACCTTGGTGTTATCAGCACCATAGTCTAACCAACAGAGCTAACTGGCCAGCCCTATATGGCTAAAAACTTTGACAATATCTAGCAGCTGATTCTTTGATGAGCTACAAAGCACTGTATAATTTTTGAAAATAAAAGTGATACAAGATCTTACTTTTTGTATAGTGCAAGAACATTCAAAGGAGAAAAATATTGCCTTTGCTTTATATGAATAGACTTGTTCTAGGGGGTTGATATCTACAAACATTAAGAAATAGTAAGAAAACTGTATTTGTCCTGAGAAAACCTCACAGTACAATGGGTAGAAACTAAATAGAGACCAGGGGGATAAGAGAAGAGGAAAACAAAGCAGGCTTTCTCTCCTGTTGCCTCACTTCTTCTCTCTGAAGCTTAACTATGTGTAATATCCCTTTGTAAATCAGTGGATATCTGGATTGCTTCCTGAGGGTTATTGTAAGCTCTGAATCATATGTTTAAATATAACCTTTCATAACCACATCTTCCCCAGCATTAGCTAATTCTAGATGTGAAAAAATCAACTGCACAAAGCATCATTTATTTCTGATATTGAGACCTATTTGTACATTCTTGCAAATGTTAGAACAGAAACTGTCAAACTTTCTCAGTTCAGTGGACCCTAGGGTCTCAACAATTTTTTCCATGGTGCCCCCAGGTCAAAAGAAATATGTAACAATTCTGTTTATTAAGTATTTAGGTCCAAGTAACTTAACTATGCATGCCCTAAAAACTTAGTAGCCAGTTAAAAAAGAATAATATACATGAATCAAATATATAGATATATATTTGTGCCATATTTAGTAAACATCTCATTCGTGGGAACTTCCCAAACCTTGTCATCAGATTGGAAATTGCCACCCTCATTTCCTGTTCCACATGGATTTTCGAGTTGACCAGCTTGTCAAAGATACGATGTCACTTAAAGGAATAGAGCCAATGTAATCCTAAAACTATGAATCACCTCCAGTGATATATGTATCAGTGTTTCTCTTTAAATTTTAAAATATTTCATGCCATCCTTGTGAGTGTGCTGAGGTGCTCCACACACAGTTTGGAAATGACAGTATAGTATTAGAAGCATGCCAACTATGCTGAAATTTGTATGGTTCTCACTTGTAAAATTTAAATAGATTACCAGATAATCTGGAACACCCTACCAGACTTCTTGAAAATCTGGAGGGGCAGTTGTATTACCATATAAAACAAGTTCAGCCCTTGGTTAGTTGAGTTTCTTGAAAGTCATCTTGAAATATAAAGATTTTTAAAGGTAACTAGAGTTTGAATTTAAAACTTTAGGATTTGGAGTTATTCCAGTGAAGTCTTTCCCTTTGCTAATTCTCTTCTATTCAGCCTCATTTCACTTTGGCAAACACATCTACGTCTGTTTAGTCATTTCTTCTCTGTCCTTCCTTCTATTTAACTTCTTTTAATATAAAGTAGAGTTCGAATATATTTATTGGGGAGTGGAGGAGGATATAGATACAGAAGAAATGATTCTATCGTGAGACAAAGAGAAGCTTTTTTTAAAGAAGAAAAATAACAATGACATTATTCTCAAATCGCATTATTCTTTTGAAGTTTTGCCAAGTCACTGAAGTCATCTCTCTGTAATTATATTTCAGAAGATGCTGTTGCTTGTCTAGGGAGGGTTCCTTAGGCAAAGAAACGCTGTCATCGTCTTAGACATAGACCATGTCATAAAACCTTATGGAAAAATACTGTAATTCTGGAGAAATTTTAGGCAGTTATGACATCAGAAAGTTGGACAATCTATTGTGAATTTCTTTTGCCTTCTTGGTCATTGTTCCACATATTTAAAGGAATGACCCTCCCACGTGTCACTGGTGTGGTGTGTTCAGTAATCCAAGGAGTAATGTGTTTGTTAATACCTTAGAAGAATGCTTTCGTTTTTGTTGTCCCAGGTCTCTGTTTTAAAGAATCCTCTTCCTAAGAATTCTCATTCTCTTCATTTTTAGCGAGACTGCCCTAAAACAAAAGAATCTGAAGCATTTTGATTGATCCCTTGACCATGTACTTATATACACAAGATGTGCTACTGCTCCGAACCCTCCTATATCTAAGGATACCTTGACAATGACTCTAAGCATATTTACCTGTTCATTTTTATTTTATTTTATTTATTTATTTATTTATTTTGTCCTTTTTGAGACTGGCCGTACCGCGCTCAGCCAGTGAGCGCTGTGAGCGCACTGGTCATCCCTATATAGGATCCGAACCCGCAGCGGGAGTGCTGCTGTGCTCCCAGCGCCGCACTCTCCCGAGTGCACCACGGGCTCAGCCCTACCTGTTCATTTTTAAATGACCTATATCCTCTCCTATTTGGTTATTATGAAGGAATTTTAAAATTTGTGTAAGTTAGAGAAGTAATCAAACACTTTGCTTGCTGGCATTATTTTTAGTAGTTGATATCAGTAATGTTGAATGGTATCTGAGCTGCTTGGTCCAAGACACTGGTTGTTTTATTTATAAAATAAAATAATTGATAAAAGACCTTTTTTATGTCTAAATTATATGAGTCAGAGTTCTACTTCTTGTACACATAGCTATTTCATGAAGGTCAATGTGAACCCCAGACTAATAACTGCTACCATTTTTTAGCATGTATTAACTAAAAGCACTGTTTAACAAAGACTTTACATACTATGACTTTACATAGTGTCAAATTTATCTTTACACTAACTCTATATGTAATCATAATTATCCTCCTTTTACAAACAGACTGAAGGTCAGAAAAGTAAAGTAATTTATCCAAGGACAGATGGCTAAAAAATTAATAAATTGCAGAGCTGGGGTCCAGTCCATCTCAATTTTATATTAAAATCTGTTTTCTTAACCAGTTTGCCACAATGTCACAACTGAAAAATAGAAGTAATAGAGAATGATGTTCTTGGTGTAATTTCTGCTCTGACTTAGTGTTGCAGTCTTACTTACAGAAGTATAAACCAGATAATTTGGCTTGCATAAATTACAAAATATAATTTAAAATAATTTATATTTACACATTGTTCATATTTATATATGGCTCTTAGCAAATGATGTTACACTGTTGAATAAATTACATTTATACTGCTTTTTCTTCAAGATCAAATGCCAGAATAAAAAACTTGAGTAGTAATCTAGTTTCATAATTTACCCAGTAATGATGATAATTAAAATTATGGCATTCTTGGGCCGGCCCGGTGGCGCACTGCTACAGTGCGCCGCTTGGGAAGCTCGGCAGCGCTCCCGCCGAGGGTTCGGATCCCACATACAGACCGGTTCCCGCTCACTGGCTGAGTGAGGTGCAGGCGCAACACCGAGGGTTGCGATCCCGTTGCCGGTCCCGGTCCGGTACGGGCGCAACACTGAGGGTTGCGATCCGTTGCCGGACACGAAAAAAGACAAAGGAAAAAAAAAATTATGGCATTCTTGCTAAAATGATAGCTGTGAATACAAAAATAGTTAATGGTGTGGAAGATAGGTTATTGGTACTTAAGGTCTAGATTTTAACCCTGTCTCTCCACCCAGCTCCTCCAGGTTTATTCCCACCCTCAGTCAGAGGCCTCCCAGAAACCATTCACCCCACACTTGGCAGAGACCAAGAATAGCACCAAGATCTTCAGTCCCGAGGAGAGGAGGACAAGGAACTAGTATTTGGAGGTCATTCAATGAACCTTATCAATGATGGGATTTTCTGATGTTGGTATAACTCTCAGTCCTGAATAGAGAGATTCAAATAAGCAAGATCCTACCATACTCCTATTGTATATGCTAATACACACAATACATTTACTAGTATTTACTAGTTTGGGCTTGGTGCTTCTGTTTCCACACAACCTATGTGCCTCCTCACATATGGGCAGCAATTCTTCATCCCTCCAACTATATACCTCCTCAGAATTCCCCTACTGCTAGCTTCACAGTTCACTCCCTTTCCTGCAGCCTCATGTGGATAGACCAATCGTTGAATGCATCAACGTCAGGATGGAGGCAGGATCACAGAATGCATATTAGGCATTACTGAAGAATTTTGCTACCTCGTGGGTAAAAACAGTCAACACCGTGCCTCTTCTCATGCAACTTTAACATGTACTTTACTTGAACAGAATTCCATTTAAGGAGATAATCTTTTAGTAAAGAGATTTGTTCATTATTTTTCTGCTCTGTGACTAAAATACAGACTCTTTAACTTCAAAAAGTGTTAAATGTCTCTCTTTTTCTGCTTCTCAGCTTCTTTGCCTCAGACACATACTAATAAAAATGTGAATTCATTGAGTACTTATTTTGTGCCAGGCACTGAATGCACTTAGAAAGTTTTAAGTCCATGTATAGTTTTAAAAAACATATTGTTACATCTTACGGGGTTTTTGAGAACTAACAAAATGCCTGATTTCAGCTTATCGATTGCTGAACTGTCTGCTTTAAATTATAAACCTCATGAGAACATTTCAGTAGTAATTTTATAAGAGACCTGATCCGAATGCTTCTTATGTTCTCAGAAACGTAGTCAGGAAATGATCTCTGCAGACAATATTTAGTTGGATTTTTTATAATTGATAGCAAAAGTTGCATGCAGAAATTACCCGTGCCAGGCTTGGAGTAGCCTGGCTCTGCTTACATAATGCCTCTAGGATGGGACAAAATAATGGTTTGCAAAAATGACACAATAAAATTCAAATTTGATTGAAAAGTATTTATAGGATGTAATAATCTAATTAAATTAGATGTTTTGGCTAAGTCATTTTTAAGCAGAAAACTTTGTTGACACTTATTGAAAAGCATACAAAAGTTATTAGTCCATGCCCTCCTTCAGTAAATAGATTGTCATGATTACAGTTGACACCATGTTTGGCAGGGGCCACAAACCAAGACATCTCCAGGAACCAGGTACGAAGGGTAAGTGAGCCAGGTCTATCAAAGCATATCCAAGAGCCCTACATTTAGCCTTTAGTAATGGCCTCCAAGTGTCCTTATTAAGCAGCCTTTTATTATAAGCTGTCTTTTATTAAGAGGTCCTATAGTGTATGTCCCTTTACATTTATGTAACACCACCCATCCCAGTGAGATGTAGATATTGCTTTACTTCTATTTTATAAATGAAAATATGGTGGTACTAAAGGGATCAGAACCTTATCTGTGGTGATACACCCATATGTAACAGTGTCTGCAGTAGATGCCAAGCAGTGTAACATTAGGACATGGACCCCTGCTCACCATTAGTCTGGTCCTAATAATTACAGAATGATAGGTGATAGCCTTTACATGTGTTAACCCATTGAATTCCCACCATAACTCTGAGAAATAGATACTAGTATTTACACCTGTTTTATACATATGGAAACAGGATCCCAGAAAGGTTAAAACAGCTACCCAGTGTCACATAGCTAGTAATTGCAGAGCAAAGAGTTGAAGCCCCAGGGTATTTGTTTCCAGAGCCCCTGCTCTTGGTGTGATTCTCAGCTGGAGTGATTTTGCCTTCCAGAGGACGTTTCCATTCCTGGAGACATTTTGATTGTCACATCTGGGAAAAGAGGGTGCTACTGGCATCTAGTGGGTAGAGGCCAGGGATGCTTCTAAACATCTTATACTGCACAGGATAGCTCCATCTCCAGCAAAAAAATATATGGTCCAAAATGTCAATAGCACTGCTGTTGAGAAACCATGGTCTGTGCAGTCTTCATTGTACAATCATGTAGATAGAAAATAGGCTATTGGGATAGATATGAACTGACAATGCATAATTTAAAGTTTTTATCTCTAAATAAATCTGTATCAGATTGCTTCCATGCTATTTGTCTCTTTCCTCTAAATACTGAACTCTAAAAAATAATCAATATAATTGAGCATTGTATTTAACTAAGTTGTTGGGTTGTTTATATTTTATTACAATTTTCAATACTACAAATTCTATATTATCCTATAAAAATTTTTATTATGAATCTCACTTTTATGAAGCATTTTATTAAATGCTTTCACTTAGATATACACATTATTTAAATTCTACCATACATCTCTACACAGTTATCTCTTTAACCGAAATTGCTCCCAATGAATCTTTCTTACCTCCTCTTCCCTTCTGACATTTATAAGTTACTTCCCACAGCCTTAATCACTTACCAGCTGTCTTGCTGTATTGCTTTCCCTTCTCCTTTTGCCCTGAAATGCCTGTTATCTCTATTAATTATTTTCAGAGTTTAGAGAAACAATACGTAATGGGTTAGACAGAGGGGGAGTTAGACTTGAGGACCAGTGATGTCACCAGAACAGGACAGCTGGCTGAGAGGGAATGTGTTTCCCTGCTAGTGAAATAAAAGACATAAAAGATAAAATACCTAAAAGATAATATGCTTCATGGAGGAAAGGGGAAGGGGCTTCGGCAATGGTCATTAATCCACAGGTCTCCTGTCAACAGTGGTTTAAACATCTGTTATACATTTGTAACTTTAAAAAATCTGCCTCGAGGTACTTGAAATTTTCTTTTAAAACAGATTTCTCTCTAGTGTTCAAGAAATGTATTGTTTTAAGCTTAAAATCCGACTGACCTTCTTAATGAGCTTCTGACTAAGCTAGAACTTTCTAGATTTAAATTTTGTGTACTTTTCGTCAATGTGACTTCCTGTTTGGGGAAAAGGAAAGAGATTAAGAAGGCTCCAAAGCTGCTTACATTTTAGACTATTTTTTTAAATATTGATTTTATGTGAGTAAGTATAAGCTGGTTAAAAACATATGGATTAAATTTTTCTATGAATGCTTTTAAAAATTAAGAATGGTGAGTACTTGGCAAGCTGTGATTATTTTTTGTCAAAGCAAAGATGTTTGAAAAGTAGTTGTTACCATTAAAAAAATATTCCTAATACAACTAGATTAACCTTGTCTTTACTTGTTCTCTAATTTATTAGTGTTATGCAAACTGTCATAAATCTATTTTAAGGTTATGCATTTTATTAGGAACAAAGAATAAAAATTCAGCTGGCAGAATCTATATTTGGGGAATTGCTGTTCCTGTTACTTTAAAACTGTATTCTTAGAAATTGCTCTGGGCAGAATTTTTCTTATGCAAACCCATGCAGTAATACTTTTTAAGCCTCTTCATATATTGGTTTCATATAACATTTAAATGCAACTTGTGAAAATTTGATTTGTTTTTATCCCAATAATTATAAATGACATATAAATAAGAGGGTTTTTTAATGGTTTTTCATGTTAGTGATAGTGTTTTTAAACACAAGACTATATCTTATGTCTGTGTATATAAATTTAATATATGGGTCCCAACTTAGGCCATAAGTGAAACTAGTTAATTTAACTCTTACTAAGTTACATAGCTGCCAAAATACAGAAATGTTAACCAAGATGGTTTAGCAAAATTTTCCCTTAAAGAAAACATAATTGGGGCTGGCCGGTTAGCTCAGCTGGTTGGAGCGTGGTGCTGATAACACCAAGGTCCAGGGTTCCAGCTGCCCAAAAAAAAAAAAAAAAGGGAAGGAAAAAAAGAAAACATAATTAGCATTGGAGGATACAACAGAGAGCAAAAACCATGGAGTAATTTGAATTTGAATCACATAATACTAATTAAGCTTAGTCATATAATCCTTGGCTCATGCAGTTAGACACCAACAGACAGTCAGAGACTACTGCAGGTTAAGTTGGACATCAGCTCTCTGAGAGATGTCTAGTTCGGAACTTGTTATTTGAGACAATCACTTTAATTTCTAGAAGAGTATTTGTAGAAAGAAAAAATACCAATGCTATGTCTAACTATATTTAACTTTAGATAGCAATTCTTGTTGTTGTCAGATTTCTCATATTTTCTAGACTAAATTTTATTCCCTTTCTCCCACTCACCCCTAGCTCTCTCGCTAGCACAGCGACTGTCACAGTTGATTCTTCATAGGTTCTATTTATCAAAGACAAGCTTATAATATATCACATGACAAAAAGATTAAATATTATGATAAGTTGAGAGATCTATTGTCTACAACTTGTATAAGTAGTTGGAAATAAAAAATCATAATGGGCATTAGTTTTGAGTACCTACAGTATGCAAAAAGCTGTACTGAATTGTTCACATAGTATTGTTATCTTTTTAATCTCACCAGCAATCATAGAAGGCAAATATCATTCACATGTTACACAGATGGGACTGAAAACTTTTGTCATAAAATGACAGACCTGGGATTTGAGTATAGAGTTTTCTGCTTCTAAAGAGAATATATACTATATTATATCAAATGAATATGCATATGGATGTACAGATGTATGTGTATATATGTATATATTTGTAGGTATACATGCACACACAGAGATGCTCCTCAACTTACGAAGGGATTACATCCTGATAAACCCATTGTAAATCTAAAATATTGTAAGTCAAAATGGCATTTAATACCTGGATAAAACCATTGTAAAGTCAAAAAATCATAAGGAAAACCATCACAGTTGAACCATTGTGAGTTGATGACCATCTGTACACATGTATATATTTGTATTTCAACACTTGTTACTTAATTTTGCCTCAGAATGTGGTTGTCACTAATGTGTCTCTATTTCTGAATATTAAATGATGTTTCAATCACATCACTCTGAGTCCAATATTAATCTGAAGTGCTTTTTTTTTTTTTTTTTTTTTTAAATTTTGAAAGCCTTTATTGATGTATTATGCAGACTTACAGCCCAGATTTTATCTTCTTTTCTCTCACCTTCCCCCTATGGGCTATATCCCAACTCAGATCAATCTTGCTAATTTCTGAAATGTCTCTAATTTATTTTTATTTATTTATTTATTTATTTATTTATTTATTTATTTATTTTATTTTGTCACTCTTTGTACTATGCTGAATTCAGCCCTCTTTATTTTTCTAAGTTACAGGTTTTTTGAGCTTTCATCAATAAAATATCTTTAAGACATTGATAGTGATGTTATTTTTGAAAATAATTAAATACCCTAGTAAAACCATTATCCTTCCCACATAAGTGCATTTTTATGGAAGTCGTACAGTTTGCTTCATAATGTTTAGATATGTGTGGGATTGAGCTACTAAATTTCACTTCCTTTATTTCATTATCCATTACAGGAACATCCTTCTCTAGGCCAACTTTCAGAAAAATTAATAGACAACAACATTAATGTCATTTTTGCAGTTCAAGGAAAGCAGTTTCACTGGTACAAGGTATGTTAATTCCCAAAATATAAAAATTAAAATGTATGCTTTGGTTGTTGAAATTAGGACACTTCTTAGAATGACAGATAAGGATTCTGAAAGTATTATATTTTGTACCATCTACATTTAATACTATATTAACTAAATTATATTTTACAGTGTCTTAAGGTAGCATTTAAGTATAAATTCTATCCAGGTTTTTAACACCTGGAACCGAGTGTGGGTACTAAATGATGTCTGAGAATTATATTCAAAATCCATGAGCACAGCCTCATACTTAGGGTGGTACTGAGTGTGAAAATAATGGAGAGGACATTTATCATGTGAAAAATACTTCAAGCTCTGTCTCTACACCTTTTATGTCTGGAGTCCTGATTATATTCTGGTCCAAGGGCATATCCTCATAACAGTTGATCGTTAAACCAATGTATGCTATTGTCATTATGTAAATACTATTGATATGTTTTCTAGGACCTTCTACCACTCTTACCTGGCACTATTGCTGGTGAAATAGAATCAAAGGCTGCAAACCTCAATAATTTGGTAGTAGAAGCCTATCAGGTATGTATATATTATACACAATTATTTTCAAATAAACTTTTAGCAACAATTTTTTTGTGGCAAGATACAAGCTAGTGCCATATCATCTTGAAAGGAGTGGTAGAAAAAAACATTTGATTAGAAGTTAGGACCCTGGAGTTTGGCCCTGGCTCTGCTGCTAACTAGCCATGATACCTTGCCTAGTTAGTTCTCTAGGCTTTCCTCAGCTTTCTGGGCCTCATTTGTCTCATTGACAGTAAAGTAAGATTGGACTAGAGGCTATTGAAATTTCTTTCCAAATCCAATGCTCAGTGAGTCACCAAATTATGGCTATAGAATGTACTTTATTGAGAAACTACATAATTTCCTATATCATTAAGTAAGAAATCCACACTGCTATTTAAAGCAAAAATCTGCTGGGGAAAATGAAGTATCTGGGATATAGAAATTACTAAGAAGACTCTTTGGGGATCTCTGATCAATCACTTGATTTGAACCAATTATTTTGGCCGTTTTATCAAAATAGTTTGATCAAAAGTATCATCTTAGTATATGTAATATTCTATTGAATTGACAGTTGCATGCTATCATCAGTCCTGTGAAGACTGGATACCTAAATGCAAAAAATTTAAAGAAACATCTGCTCTCTCAACCTGAGTCATTCCCGATAGAATAATCTCTGTTAAGATGTTGCAATAATAGTGACTGTTACTCTCATACTACCAAGAACCAGTCACTTTCTTTATGTGACCTCATTTAATCCTCACACCTGACCTAAGACAGGTGCTAGTGTGGTACTCCAAAGTATATTTGTAGAAACCAAGGCTCAGTGAAGTTAAGCAAGATAATCAAAGGTCACACAGCTCGTAAGCAGAAGCAGCAGGATCAGAATCCAGGTGTTCCTCCACTCCAGGCTCCAGGTGCTTCCTCTTTTGTGATACCACCTGTTTATTTTTTAACATGGTGTCAAAAGTTATGCTTTATTTTACCTCAAATTTATGGGCCGATTATAAAGTCTCATTCCTCCAAATTCTCTGACTTGACTTCCCTTCCTGACACGTAGAGTTTAATAGTCTAAATAGTAGCCAGATCCATGTGAAAAACCTCGGACTTTTCTGATTTTCTCTAGGCTGCACCTGCCTTAAACTTGGGTACAAAAGGGAGGAGCAAGAAGTAGACGCAGGATATAAAATGAAGAACTCGTTTGAACGTTCTCCTTTTAAAAGAAAAATAAATCTTGCTAGATGTGTTTTTGCCAAGGATTTTTTTCTATGTTTGAAAACTGTGTTGAATGAAATAAGAGCACCTTAACTTGCATCCCTTTCTCACTTACAAAAAAAAAAAAAAAAAAAAAAAAAAAAAAGGGCAGAGGAGCTTCTTATTAAGGAAAACCAAATGTGTATACAATTCATTCCCATGAGTAATTTGTTCCCAAAAATAATAAAAAGAAGAAAGGAGCTTAAATGGTTAGTAGTCACCCTAAATTGTTACAGTATGAACTCATTTATACCCCAAACAAGGGATATAAATTGACGAGTTTTACCTGTGTGTCAGACTACACCAATGGAAAAGGAGACAGCTGCATTTGGTTTCTTGTTACTTATATTTGGGATGCCTTAGCCCATGGTAGTTCTGATTAACTTTAAACAGTGGAAAAATACCAATAATCCAACAAAAACTTAACTCTGGCTAACTAAGCTCCTTAAGTGGAGATTCTGTTATTTTTTATATCTCTATATTTTCAAAATTCTTTTGAAATTTTGTCTTCACAGTCCAACAGAAACTATTCACAATTCATTGAAGAATTATACATCAGGAAAAAATAGATTCTGCCTTATACCTATTTTATATTAAAAGGGAAGCTTAAGATTGTGGTGGAAACTTAATTTCTAAATTCCAAAGCTGGGCAAAATTTTAGAGATTTGTCTTTTCACCCTGCTTGGCAAACATTGGCCTATCTAGCTCAAGATCTTAACAGAAACAGGATTTCAGTAGGACAAGCTGAAAATGCTCTTTGCGTTAGGCAGTTTCTTCTGATCTGCCAAACTGTCATATATCAGTATCATTTGTAGACCACTGGAAGTTTCTACTGGTTTGCCAAAATTATTCAATTAATGGTTTGCAATGTATGAGCTCTATGGGAGATTAAAAAATGTCACTGCCATGGTTTTACCTTACCCAGATAATATTTACAAATTTGAGGAAAGTATCTCGTTCTAAAGATATACAGAATCCCCTGATCAATTATTAATCTGTAAGCACATCTCCTTATTGATTATACTGCTAAAGAAAAAAATTACTCACATAAAGACTTAGGAGCCACTGGAAATTTATTTTTCTTCATACTCTGCTAATCACTCTCTTTCTCTAGGTACTTACTTCATTTTTTTCCCTTTTTAAAAATTTTGTTTACAAGTATAATTTAAGGATTTTGGCATGTGATAGACTTTCAGTTTTATGGAACAAAATGCACACAGATCTGGAGTATGTATTTCAGGTAACTTGATCCTTTGGAACTCAGAGATTGTAATGAAAAATTAATGTGTGCTTGATACATGGTAGAAATTAAATACATATTTATTAAATGAATATATAAATGGGTGAATGAATGAATGGTTTTCTGCCCGGTGAGAGACCCTACTTTGGTGTTAAGGTTTGGAGCAAACCTGATAAACACAAGTAAGCCCCAAGGTCTTGGCAAAAATCCTAGGCCAGTTTTGGAGAACTTTATAGAACCATATCTTTCAGGTAACTCTTATGTTTACAGAACAGAAATGTCCTCCCAAAAGTGTACCTTTTGATTCTGTATCAATAAGGCATTGTAGCTTTCATGATTGTCTAAAGTATTTGAAACTGAAATGTTTCTTTAATAGCTGTGAATGTCAGAAGCATGTTCCAAATTTTAAGTTGTCAAGATTTACCTTTTGTGATGATTTATGTGTTCTCAATGTTTTATTTAAACCTTATCATAAAATATAAGTATTATTGGATTAAGAAATGCTTACTTTTTAAGAGGCTGAATGAGAAATATCTTTGAAGTGATCAAAAGGCACAGTCATGAAAGTCTATGAAAAAGTAGAACCACTTAATTCAGAGAATCTAATCCTTCAATATTTGTTATGAATTTCAAATATAATTGGGACATTATGTGGAAACTGTTTTAATTCATCCTTTTACAGAGGTAGACTCTTTGGTTTTGCTAAAACTTAAATCTAGAATGATTTAATGAGCTTGATTGGTGCTTACACTTGAAACTACTGCAATATGTAATTTAAAAATTATGTCTCCACAGAAACTCATCTCAGAAGTGAAAGTTCAAGTGGAAAACCAGGTACAAGGCGTCTATTTTAACATTACAGCCATCTGTCCAGATGGGGCCAGAAAGTCAGGCACAGATGGATGCAGAAATGTGACAAGCAATGACGATGTATGTGGGTGTGCACTTATCCCATTTAAAACAAACTGGCCTGCTTCTTCACAAAAAAATCAAATCAATTTGAAAAACTACTTATGACTGACTCCAAGAATTTTATTTATACTTCAAAGTAACTTTCACTGTCTCTTCTCAAAGTTCCTACTTGGTTTAACCCAATTGACTCTTCTTTCAAACTTTCAATAAAAGAAATATATATTATATTAAACACTTATTTAATAATAGTAACTTTAAACTTAGGGGTCACAACCAGTGAAGATTAGCAAATTATATCTCCTCAAACAAGTAGTGTCTATACCTATGATTATGACAATGACTTTGTGGTTTCAAATCTGCAAATTCTCAGAATAAATGTGAAATTGAAAGTAATAAACCACAGAAAAGAATGGGAGTGATGATGGACTTGATAGAGACTAAGAATTCCAAAACCTTTCACGTTATGCTTGCCTTAGTACCCTCCTAATGATCTAGGAGGAGGTTGGGGATTTGTTAAGAGCAATAAAAAAGAACTGGTATCACTTAACTAAAAAGAAATAAAATGTAAAGAAGAGAGGCCCAGATTATAGCAGCATCAGGAAATAGGACCAGAGAAGTGGATTCTCCAAGGATCAGCACAATAGAGGGTAATATAGAAATTTACCCTGAAAGGAAGTCCTTGTAGGGTGAAGTGATGTCCAGTGAGTCATTTACCTCTTTAGGCATCAGTTGCTGCATTTTTCAATAATGACTTGGACCAGAAGATTTCTAATCACTCCTCCTTTCACCTCTAAGGTTCTGTGATATTATTAATGACTTTAATATCATGCTATAGAGAAAAAGGAAAAAAGTTATTGAAAGAAATAAAGGTCCTAAGATTCTAAGATTGAATAAAGAGAATCTTTCTTTCTCTTTATTTAGAATATATTTTTCCCTCTTGAGAATTCTAGAATATTCAGGTAGTATAATTGTTCCTATAAGCTGCATATATTAAATTAATTATTACAAATTTCTAATTCTGTAGTTGCCCCTATAATCACTCCCTGGATTTTGTTCAAAAGACATCATATACCAGTTTACAAAATACATATTTGATTTTTATTAAATGTAAAGAAAACTTTTTACTAACAAAAGATAGCATTGTTACTTTCTGAAAAAATGCTTACCTCTTAGAAGTAGTTCTTTCAAAATCTCTATTTTGGAAGAGTAGTTTTCCTTACTTCTTACATTTTTTTTTCTTTACCTACATCCGTTTTTTCCCTTTACTTTTAACCAAGTGGTATAAACAGTTTGACTCTCAGGAATTCTCATATGAACTACCTATTAATTATATAAACCCCAAGCTTTATTCTACCATTAGTAATGGCAGTGACCACATTATCCTACACATCTGTTAATCCTTAACATTCTTAAAGACCAAAAACATTTCAAGTACAACACTAACTGGATTGATTTTTAGTATTATAAGACTGATTCTAATTGCTAATGTACATATAAGCCTAAATTTAGATCTTTTATATAATGATGTATATATATTTATATATACATATATATATATACGTGTATATATATATATCCCAACCAAAAATCCCAGTACAAATTATTTTAAAATTGTAAAGGATTTTCATCCAACATGAAAAAAAAATTGAAATAAATATGTATGTATGATATATATATGTATAAAAATATATATGTTATATTTTAAAACACTATATATATATATGTGGATCAACAAATATAAATAGACATATTAAGTCAATCATGTTGTGCAAAAGAAAAAAATAGAGAAAAAAAGGAATAATTTGGCAGGAGAAAGAAACTGTAGTTTCATGAGGAAAACCTATTCCTGCCAGCCCAGCTCCTTAGCTCTGTCCCAACTTCTCCCATTGAGACAAATGCGTGACCCTGTACTGAAGACTTAAGAACTGAGAATGAGAGCCCTAAACCTTTTTCCCTTGAGTAACATTAGAGAAAGTGTCATATTTTCCTCCATTGACACCCTGTATAAACTAAAATTTAACCAAAATTTTACTTGGGTCCCTAGAAAATAGGAACAAAATAAGAATTGTTCATTGGAACATCTCGTCTCAGGGTTTTAAACAAGTAGAGCAGAAGCCTTTTACTGTGGTTAATTTTATCTATCCCTAGTGCCAAATACTCAATAAACCCACATTTTAAGGGCTGAATCCATAAAATGGTCTATTCTTTCTCAAGTTCGCTAAGAAATTAATCATCAAAGGTAGAATAGATGCCTCAAATAGGCTTGCACCCAAGTCTGTTTAATTTTACAATATAGGCAATTAGCAATCATTGCATTCTTTACCTCTAGTTTATTAATTTGGAAATAAAAGACATTAAAAGGGAATGTTGCATCAACATTAACATATGAAAGAGATTGAATGTGTATTTTATAAATATTAATTTCTCTAAGACGACATGTATTGATTCAAAAATTAATATATATAATATTGACAATAAAAATAATCAAGGTGTATAAATATATTTCCTTTCTCCCCCCCCTAAATTTAGGTTCTTTTCAATGTAACAGTTACAATGGAAAAATGTGATGTCACAGGAGGAAAAAACTATGCAATAATCAAACCTATTGGTTTCAATGAAACCGCTAAAATTCATATACACAGAAACTGCAGCTGTCAGTGTGAGGACAGCAAAGGATCTAAAGGAAAGTGTGTAGATGAAACTTTTCCAGATTCCAAGTGTTTCCAGTGTGATGAGAATAAATGTCATTTTGACGAAGATCGGTTTTCTTCTGAGAGTTGCAAGTCACACAAGGATCAACCTGTTTGCAGCGGTCGAGGAGTTTGTATTTGTGGGAAATGTTTATGTCACAAAATTAAGCTTGGAAAAGTGTATGGAAAATACTGTGAAAAGGATGACTTTTCTTGCCCATATCACCATGGAAATCTGTGTGCTGGTGAGTATAAATATATAGCAGTTTTTACCAGTCACTATTACACTAACATATATATTTTAAATATCTTTAAGTTACATCTTTTTAAGGTGCCAACACTGAATTCAAATTTAATATTCAGCGTTTCGTAGTCTGTGAAATTAGGGCATAGCAACAAATTTATAGCACATGATTTTCATGTTTATATTTTAACTTATTTATTACAGAATATGCTTCAAAATAAAATGCTAAAATTAATTGTTATTCTCATGTATTCCTTGTTCTTGGAAAGATATATACCAGAATAGGAAATTACTGACGATGTCTGACACATTTTCTAGAGAATCAAGGTATTCTTCTAGAAGGATCTGATTCATTCTAGTAAATGGTCACTCCTTCCAGCTTGCTCAAAAATTTTTATTTCTGTCAGAATGATGGGAAGTGAACTATAAAAATATACTTTTCATTCATTGGAAAATTCTTAATGCATTATTGTGGATGGTATTGTAAGTTTGCAGTAATTTAAGCCTCTTAAGTTTATTTTTGGAACACCACCCACAATAGAATTGCCAAAGGAAAGCATTCTTAGAAAAAATACTGGTTTACTGAGTAATCTAGAAGATTAGTCTCTGAGACCACACACAGACCAAATTAAAAAATGAAATAAGTTAGAATAAAAATATCAAGACTACTTTTTGGCCGATTCAGTTTACTGCCACCTAGAGGTTAGATTTCAGAATATCCGTACAACATTTGAAAATTAAAACAAAATAGTTTTTAAATAAATTAAATAAACTACCTGTCACCCGAGTTCTCCAATAATTTTTCTGTGACAGTATACTAAATCCACTTATTGTGAAAACACCTTTTTTGTATTTGCATTTTAGTAAATAAATATTTGTTAAAGTATTAATGAATGGAAATACTTCATTGCCATAAGCATATGGGAAGTAACATAAAAAATAAATGTGTTTAAATAAGTAAAATGAAAAATAAATTTTCCATTTTCATCTAAGTTAAAAATTTGGCTTATAGCACTTAATATGTAATGGCAAATTGTCTTTTATTCTATTATATACTTCAAACATTTATTCAGCTATAACTGGCATCATGGTTAGGATAGATTATAGATGACTTTAGAATGAACCAGCAGTTGTCTACTATATTTTACAAGAAAGAGAAATATTATTTTACAGGGAAGAGAGAATTTTCTGAGATCATTTCCTACAGCTGTCAATCTGTCAAAGAAATTTTAAATATAGTGAAAATCAGTCTCTATTCACAGAAAAATATCAAAAATCAGTGTACTGGCCCCTCCATATGACTATGATACTACTGACTCACAGGCAGTTGTGAATCTGCTTTGAATTGTTGGTGTTTAAGTGCAAACTCTAGGGCTGACCTGCATTTTCTCCACTAGTCTCTTTGGGGAATAAAAACACATGTTCACAGGTCAGCGGGTAGGATTCAGCATGCAGCATGCGCAGGGAACAGGGTCTGGCAGACATTTGTTTGGCCTGGTCCTCATTAGTTTTACACTTAGCAGACAGAGCTGATCCAACAGTAAACTCTATGCAGTAGTTACCCTGTGAGGTGCTCAGCAATAAAAGAAGGGAGAGAGGGAACGAAGAAACAAAAAAAGGAGGTGGGATAAAGGGAGGGATGGAGGCAGGGAAGGACGAAGGAAAGGAGGGGTGTGTTCAAATAAGCTTGAGGAATGCTGTACTCCCGTGGCCCTTTAAAATGTATCCCTTCTTGAAGATTTCTAGTTCATATTAGCATATTAAACTTTGGACACTTTCTGCAATCTAAAATTCATTTAACTATGTATCACCAGTTTTTCTTCAACTCATTGTGTACACCCCACCTTCCTTTCTTTTTTCCATTTCAGGACATGCCCCTCTAACGTACTGTTCTGAGGATGTGGAAGGAATCATTCAACTTCTCAGGAGACCTTATCTTTAAACATGGCACTAGCAGCACTAAAGTCTAGAAGGCTTTGCCTCAAGGTCCTTCAAAGTTCTCCCAGGCCCTTAGCAATAATGAAAGACTAAGAGAATGGTTATAGAAGACATTAATCAAATACCCTCACTCGTTCTGAATTCAAGTCCGACAGTTAACATTACTCCGCCTGTAGCTTCTTTATGTGTGCGTGTTTTTCATGTACAACTGAATGCACAGTGGCATTCACCGTTGAGCAGCAACAGAAGCAGGGCACCCTTCACGCTTGTTAGCACAATATGTGAGCATTAGATTATCTACAATAGAACAGCTTTGGAAACGGACCCTGCTAAAGCTTGGCATTGTTTTTGTCAGACAAATAGAAAATGATGTTGTTTCCATTCACTTGACTGTCAATGCGTTTCCGTGGAGACGAGAGGGGAATCCATGTTTGGAAACTCTTCACCAAGTCAGTGGTCCCCATAACTTAGGTCCTGGAGTGTCTCTGTTGCAGGACATGGCGAGTGTGAAGCGGGCAGATGCCAATGCTTCAGCGGCTGGGAGGGGGACCGGTGCCAGTGCTCATCAGCATCGGCCCAGCACTGCGTCAACTCACAGGGCCAGGTGTGCAGCGAAAGAGGCACGTGCGTGTGCGGCAGGTGTGAGTGCACTGACCCCAGGAGCATCGGCCGCTTCTGTGAACACTGCCCCACCTGCCATACAGCCTGCAAGGAAAACTGGTATGATTTCTCTGTCCCCAACATACGCAAAGCAGTCCTTCATGATGGCTGGCTGTGTTCTTTTCTGTTCTGGGTGCTTTAATCTTAAAAGTTGCCAGATAAGTTGTTACCATCATGCTAAAAAAGAATTGAATGGGGAATTTTAGGAATTAGGAAACTAGAATTCCAATCTATGGCCACTAGATAACTGTGGCAGCATCAAAATAAATCCGGACATTCACTATCTTTATTAAAACAGGTTTTTGAAGATAGGGGCTGCCTGCTACTACCCAGCTTTCTAGTAGTTAATTGAGTAATCTAGGACAAGTTGTCAAAATTATCTGTGCCCCTGTTTTCTGATATCAAACATGAGGATAATTATAATACCTTGCTGTAGTTCTGTGAAAGAATTAAATTAAATGATTCATGTAGAAAAAAACTCTTGTACTCAGTGCATGGTATTTGTGTATGGTAATAATAGAATACATGTTAGCTGTTATTACTGTGTTTTATTTTTAATATTTTAAGGATAAAAAATTGTGGCTATGAAGCACTCTAGAAATAAGTGATATATAAATGAAATGTGATGTGTTAAATGAAGGTGACTTTATTGTTTTGTGCCAATAATTAATTTTACAATAACAATTTGAGACCTACTCAAAGACCACTAATCTAAACATCACGGTACCTTCCAATTTGTTTTATTCAAAAAGCTTTTAAAGCAATCACTTTTTCAGATTGGTGGTTCAAATAACTTTTTTAGACTTATGCGTGGTAATTTATTTTTTGGAAATGCATTACTTTAACATAATGATGGAGTTATTTCTAATGAGCCTTATCAAAATTTCAACAGTCTATTCACTGCTATTTTGTTATTTGATTTTTCACAGAAAAAATTACAGTCTAGCACAGTCTTAAAGAATAAATGTTTTCACTTCTGTTTCCCCTTATAGGAATTGTGTTCAGTGCCTTCACCCTCACAATCTGTCCGAAGCCATGCTCAAGCAGTGTAAAACCTCATGTGTGCTCACTGAACAGTTTTATGTGGACCAAACATCAGGTAAACCAAAGCTTAATAATCAAAGCACTGAAGAATATCTGTAGAGGATCATATTCCCCAAAAGGGCCCGTAATTAACTGGGCTAAAGAAAGGACTAATGGCTTTAATTATTTTTCATTATGAAACATTGCTTTATTTTTCAAAACAGCTTAATTGAGGTATCATTGATATATAAGAAACTGTACATATTAATCAACACCATTTAATGAGTTTATGACTCAGTTTTTTAAATCTCCCAGAGATGATACTCTATAGCCAACAGTGTATGCTTTCCATGGTGTGGTTGAGTGGTTGGGTTTCTCCTCTCATCTACACAGTTAAGTTTCCATGCTATGTACTTCCATAGAGGGGCTTCTGAATACATTGGCTAGAGAGGCCTCCGTGAACCAAAAATATGAGTTTCCCATGTAGATTCAAGGTCTGTGGAGCCATAATTTTCCTTCATAACCCAAATTTGCTCCCAGTTCTGACCTTCCTCATATCTAATCAACATTTACTTTCATGTTTCAGGAGAAGCCAAAAAAGTCTAAGTAGCGATGATCTGCTTTTGCAAAATACATAATTTTAAAAGCATTCCTTCCTGATATTTAACTACAGCTCTGATTCATTCTGATATAAACATAGCTTAGGCATGAATGGTTATCCAAGTGGCACAATGGAATGGCTCTGGAACTTTTAGTCTGAAGACCTTGGCTTAAGGCATGTCCTTGAACAGTGTTAGTTAAGAAATATCAGCCCTCCCACAAAACTTCCCTGAGCCTCAGTTTCCTCCTCTATAAAACTGAGGTAATAATACCAACCTCAAAGAGTCGTGTGACATCAAATGAGCCTGTGAGCATGAGAGAAGTATCTAAAGTAAAAGGTAACAAGTAAATGAGGAAACATATGTCAGTGATGCTCAAGGAAAATTTTTAAACAGAAGTTCATCAGAACCCAAAAACCCAGGACCCCACTTTGTGCAGGTATAAGGTATGAAACTGCATGGGAATTTTAAATTAAGCTTAAAATTATGTCTTCCTTGAAAACATTCCTATTGTGACTACTATATCAAGTCTCTCCTCCAACCTATAAGAAAAATTCCAGCTCTTAGAGAGACTGCACAGAAGAATAAACTTTCTCCAGGGTTTTGTTTTGTTTTTCCCTCGCATCCATACTGATCTTAACTCAAAGAACTTGGCTCTGAAAAGAGCCCCATGTGCTGCCAGCTGGGGCTGCTGCAATCACTCCAGAACGCCAAGTGCCTTTTCTAATAAATAGGGCCTTTCTATCAACATGTCATTTATTATGTTAAGTAAATACGACTCTGGCTTAAGTGTTGTTACAAAACATATTCCCTAAACCTCCTTAGGAAAAGCCCCAGCCTGACCTAAACTAAGGAAAGCATAGGCTAGGGGGAAATATTTGCTATCCATAACAACATGTAAAAATACATGCAGATTTGAGCCCTGAAAATGTCACCTATCCTAACTGATTAGAAGTATTTCTAAAATGCGTCGATAGCTAGGGGGCTCCCCTCCATTTCACAGCTATTGTGCAAGAAAAGGGAAAGCGTGTTTGTCAGGCACCTCTGTCATCTATCCACGCAATCACACTTAAAGGGTGTTCTTTCAGTCTCTCTGGCTAAGCTCCTCCCAGGCAAAAAGCCAATAAGTGGGATCAAGCCACGTGTCCCCTCTGAGGATCCGCCTTAGCTGACTGAATAGCCCTAGCCAGCCAAAGGAAATGACAATCTTTTAGGACAAAAGGGCCGTGTGTCATGAACCTGAAGGTCACTGTGGAAGATTGAAAGGTCACCACCTTTGAAAAGAGCGCTTTGGATTCTATCTATCTGTCAGAGTTGTAACAATGGGAGACTTGAACCAGCATTTGGTATTTCTGTTCCAATTAGTTGTCTTGGGGTCTGCCTTTGACCTTTTTTTCGAGGTACCTTATCACTGACCAAAATAAAATTGGGCTCTGTGAAGTCTTCCCACTTGGAGAGGAATCTTTGCCTTCATCACTGAGTTTTTGCCTTATTCAAAAGCATACTTGATCGTCACTGGGAATCCAGTCATCCATGATTGTTCTAAGCCTGGGCAGGTTCCCTCCCTGGAGGCTCTCTCTGTGAGACCTTCAACATTTAGGTGAGGTCCCCACAGTCTGGAGAATGGGTGGAGGAACACATGCCTCTTTAGGCCATGAAGTAATTGTAGAAATCTGGGACAGCTGGCGAGTTCTGTGGAATTCTTGCCTATTGTGCAACCATGTTCCTGTTGGATTGGGGTAATAGCTCTGGCAACGACAAAGCCTGTAGACTTTCCAAAGAGTTTGCCTAAGATCTGGTGCTGAAACAGAAATCTAGCATGCCCCTCATCTTAACATGGCATTGCTTTTTCCAGCTAGTGATTTTTTTGTTCTTAGAAAAATACACAGTGAACTTTTAAAGCAAATAGAACAGACTTGGTTAACAGACAGGTAAAAAGTAAATTAATAAAAAGTTAGAAAAGAGATTCGCATATTGTCCCAAATTGGACTCTCCTATTTCCTGGAGAAGCCATGTGTAAAAATAATGAGAACTTACACTGCAATTTCTCAGGAAATATTTATTCACCTATTAGAGAAGTATTGATTTTAGCCTCTACAGATGTTTACTTTATTTTCTAGTACTGGTGTGCAGCAAGTAAAGAACAAGCATAAAAAGGGAAACATATGCTAATACCCAGAACTATTAAATAATTTTTTTAAATCTCACTTAGCGATCATTAGTGCACATCACAGAAACTGTCCCTTTCTCTCTCATGGACAAAATTGTGTTTGGTTAAGTGAGTTGGACATATTCTGGTTAATATAATTAATGATCAAACTGCAAGAATAATGTTATTGAATACCTTAATTGTGGCTATTCTTCAAAGGAGGGCTTTCTGTTGAAAATATTTTAATAATAAATGTGCAGTAAAAATTAGAGTTTACTTTTTTGAGCTAACAGTAATTTCAGTCCCCTGTTTCGAAAATGTAGATTTGCAAGTATCTCTCATCATATTAATTGAAACATGAACATCATTTACATGACAATCCTTTGATTTACTCATTCCCATTTTTTAATTCATTTATTTGTTTGTTTCATTACAGAATGTTTTTCTAACCCAAGCTACTTGAGAATATTTTTCATCATATTCATAGTTACATTCTTGATTGGGTTGCTGAAAGTCCTTATCATTAGACAGGTGATCCTACAATGGAATAGTAATAAAATGAAGTCCTCATCAGATTACAGAGCATCAGCCTCAAAAAAGGTCAGTGAATTCTACCAAAAATTTACTATCAGTATGTTATTGACTAGTTACAGTATTTAGGACCATCACTGATAATAATATTTCTTCTCTATCAAGGATAAGTTGATTCTGCAAAGTGTTTGCTCAAGAACAGTAACCTACCGACGTGAGAAACCTGAAGAAATAAAAATGGATATCAGCAAATTAAATGCTGATGAAACTTATAGGTGCAACTTCTAAAAAAAAGATTAAAAATAGTTTATGGGGAACTGGATTTTATAATATTTGCTCTTAAAATTATAATTTTAAAAGTCACAGGAGGAGACAGATTGTTCAAGATCATGCCAGTTGCTGGTTGCACACTCGAATGAAAACTGACGAGCATCCTCATCATCATGTGACTCACATAGCTGCTGAATTTTTCAGAGAAAAATATGTCTTACTACTGTTTGAGACTAGTGTCATTGTAGCACTTTACTGTAATATATAACTTATTTAGATCAGCATAGAATGTAGATCATCTGAAAAGCACTGATTACACTTTACAGGTACCTTTCATTCCTACACTTCCCAGAGAGAGACAATGCTGTGAGGTAGTTTAGCATTGTGTCACTACAAGGGTACAGTAATCACTGCACCGAACATGCGAATGAAACAAATAATCTGGCAGACATATACTGATGTTGCCAGACACTTTCACAATTGGTGGTGAACACAATTACAGATAGATGAATACATGATTAGTGTTTCACTCATTCAAGAGGTGAACAGATAGAACCTTAATCTTAAGGGATATTGCTTTTGAAACTGTGTAGTTTTATGCATGCATGTGTGTTTATGTTTTTTTTTACAAGATGGATACTAATTCCAACATTTTCTCTTCTTCAACTTTATGTTTTGTTTTTATTCCTTGCATATGTTTATATGTGTCACAAATGACTGGATTAAATAAGTGCTAAGTTACTACTGCCATAAAATCCTAGTAATACAATGTCACTTTATTAGAATACTGGTTTTAAATGCTGAATGTTAATAAGGGACACTGTAAAGTATCATCAAAACCTGATTAACTTAACTTTTTGCAGTTGTAGAGTTTTGTATCTTCTTACCTGGTAAACTGGAGGGATTATTTGACCATTTCATGTATCTAATCATTAAGCTGAAATTCACAATATGTTTAGAAATTCTGCTTCAAGCAAAGTACCACAGTTTTGAACGAGTTTTCTTAGGTTTTGACTCCAAGTAGATATCAGCATTTTTCAAATGAAAAGATATATTATTTTTGCCCTTCAATGTAACCTAAAGACATTCTTTTTCTGAATTACCCCAACCCTCCTAACCAGAATTCATAAAACTGTAAAATTGGAGGAGGACAGGTGATATCTTAGAAATAAGCTAATTCACCCTTTTAATTAGTCAGGGAAAGGCTCAGAAAGTTTGAATGATTTCTAAAAAAAAAAAAAAACACCCAAGTGATAAAGTGGCAACATTAGAAAAGACCTTGTATCTTCTTATTGCCAGGCCAGTGTTTATTGCACAGTATTATGCTACCTCTCAAATCTTTAAAGTATTCAATTGGCAAATATTTTTTAATGTGATTTACTGAAGTCTTAAGTATATGGACATGAGAAAATTTCAAAGCAAAGTAGCAAAGAGTAATTCAAACTGAATTGTCCATAAACAGCTTCTAGTCTTTCCTGCTAGTGAGCTTTGAAAAGATTGTAGCATGGCATAACTATAGGGAAATCCGTTCATACCATGGCCTTTATGAATACGACCCCCTGGAGTTGTACAATGCTCAACCCAAGACCTTGATACAGAGGCCGTGAGCTCTATCTTCCCCAATGGAAGCTTCTTCACAATTACCATATCACTACAGACTTATTTAGTCTGATTTTATTGGCTAGCAGTCCAACAGTCCTGCGTGCCGTAAGGAGTTTGGCCTATGACAACAAATGAATTTATTTAAAATATCTTGTCATAATTAACTTCCCAGATTTGCTGTCTTCCAGCACTTTAGTTAAAGTACTAGATATTTGCATTTTGATGAAGACTAACCTTCACTTCCTATTCTACCCTAATAAAGAGGACCGAAAAATATGTAATAAGTTGTTCTGGAGCCAACAAACACAGCAGCTCTCTTAGCTGTCCCCTACAGCCAAGCCGTTATGAGGCTAAATTGAGCTTCATTTCCTTCCCCAAATGAGAGATTGAGGACATTGACATAATTCAGTACTGTGACTGATTCGTGTAAGAAACCTTTGATCAGTAAGGATAATGCAAAAATGAAAGGATGCCTGACAGCCCCCAAAAGGAAAAAGTGGAAGATATCCATTAATTTAAATGGTGACAATTTAAAAAATGAACATTACAGTGTTTATGAACAATAAACTAATTTCCATGTGGAATGAATTATCCAAAAGACCATAATAAAATGAAATGCTTAAAAAACCAAGGTTTATATTTTACACCCCTATTAGTTTGCACTAACTTTATAATGGACCAAGGATGTTATCGTAGGAAGAGATAAACTTCCTTATAGGTAATTCAGTGCTATGTAACCATTGTAGTTATGCTTGTGATATTTCGTGCTTTCTTTTTTGTTTTTTACTTAAAGAGCTAATTCTTAAAGATTTTAGGGCTTATATTTTACTTGAATAATTGATATTTTCCTGTGTAAGGGTTTGTGAGAAGAGAATTAATATTTGCATAGTTAGAATTAGTTAAAAGATAAGGAAAAACAGGGTATTCTTAGATTAAATAATTTATATAAATAGAGTCTACTTCCAACTACTATGACCACAGGAGACTTTTGAGATTTATTGATATTAAACTCAGTTAATGACATTTTAAATTGTTATTAAGAACTTGAACAACACTTTTGGTACGGTAGCATTTTTGCACCCTAAAGTATATAATGATTTAGAAATGTGCCATACATACACTACAACGTAATTATATGTATTTTATTTCTCTGGAGACATCTTTTCACTGCAGTGCACATGTACTTATAAACATTTGATATGTTTTTATTTATTAAGCCATGGGCATTCTCTGGAAGATTCAGAAATTTACTAAAAATCTGATTATTTCCTAAATGTTCAAGTTAGATTTGGTTTATAAAAATAACAACAACAACAACAACAACAACAGAAAATCTAAGGTTAAACAGAATAAATATCTCTGGAGGCCAATTTTTCAAAACTCAAAATTCAAATTAGTAGTGGATGCATCAGATGTAACACTCTACCAAAGAATAAACTCCAAATTTCAAATATTTTTAAATAATTACTTTTATCTCCATTGAATGTACTCTTATGTATGACAACAGGCATCCACGAGACACTGAAATATGTTATTATAGACCATGAAAATTTTTCTCCATCGAATTATATTCCTTCTGGTATCTGGTAGAGTAGATTAGACTCAATGGCTTTTTCTTTTTTTCCTCACTCTTGTCTTTTCCACTCACTTTTCCCAAGAGATTGTCCTAAAATTTCAGGCTCAATAAGCCTAATTGTGAAAAGTAACTGAATTTAATGGTATAATGAATTTCTTCATTTCCAAACATCTCTTATTGATTTTAAAACTCATTTGGATCTATGCTTCTGAACAAAGACAGACGAATTAGAAACTAAGAATTTTAAATTTTCACAACTGAGCTTCTTTCCGTTTTGAAGGATTTGAGATATATATGTTTTCATAAATTTGTTAAGTGAAATACAAGTTACTTGGAATTTCCGCTTTGAAGGATTTGAGATATATATGTTTTCATAAATTTGTTAAGTGAAATACAAGTTACTTGGGAACTCAATTATGTGCATATTGTATTCTGTCTTATTTACCCTGAACGTCTAATTAATGACTATCCTTATCTATATTCACCATAAGAACTCCATTCCATGCATTGCAAACTGAGACACATTTTCAAAGAAACAGAACTATCATTCTTTCAGACCATTTTCTTCTTTTTTACAATTTCTCTATAGCAAATTTATTGTGTGTAACTTATTATACATATTCATATTGCATTGCATCTAAAATACCCACTTTTTCAATTAAACATCTTTGAAATTTTGATGGATCTTGCAATTGTTGGCATCTTAGATGCAGTGTTTAAAATTGTGCTTGAATAAATATTACACTAATCCAACTTTAGCTAAATGTTCATGGGTATAGGGGCATTTCTTATGAATATTTGAGAATCCATTTATGATAACATGTGAAGCCAATTTTTAGTACAACTGAATCACACACAGCTCAATCTGAGGCCTGTCTGATTAGCAGCTCAGTCTGAACGTCTAATTAATGACTATCCTTATCTATATTCACCATAAGAACTCCATTCCATGCATTGCAAATTGAGACACATTTTCAAAGAAACAGAACTATCATTCTTTCAGATCATTTTCTTCTTTTTTACAATTTCTCTATAGCAAATTTATTGTGTGTAACTTATTATACATATTCATATTTCATTGCATCTAAAATACCCACTTTTTCAATTAAACATCTTTGAAATTGTGATGGATCTTGCAATTGTTGGGATCTTAGATGCAGTGTTTAAAATTGTGCTTGAATAAATATTACACTAATCCAACTTTAACTAAATGTTCATGGGTATAGGGGCATTTCTTATGAATATTTGAGAATCCATTTATGATAACATGTGAAGTTAATTTTTAGTACAACTGAATCACACACAGCTCAATCTGAGGCCTGTCTGATTAGCAGCTCAGATCCTGCATATTTTTAGGTCAAAAAACTGTCAGGCTTTTGTTTATCCTTTTTGCTATTGGCCACAATTTTAGCAAACTATAACTACAAGAATGGGTGGATTTCTTGCAGTTTTGTTAAATTTTTATTCTTGCTATTCCTTTCTAAGGGATCCTTTTATATGATCATCTCACTTTTAAAAATATTTAACTGGAAAAATATTACATGAAATTGTAATAATTAGATTTTGCAGCATCTTGTAAGTTTTATGTCAGTGGCAGGAGAACATATGATACAACCAGTCAGTGCTGTGGGAGACAACTTTCCTCTTCGTCCTCCTGCTATTTTATTCTTCTTTATCCTTTCTGTTCTGTTCATTTTTTCCCCTGGCTCTGATAAATTTGCCTTCAAACCCATGTAATGACTGTTGTTAAAACTTCGTATTTAAATTATTTGAAACAATTGTCCAGCTATCTGGGCAGCTATTAATGAAATACCTGAGAGTAATAACACTACTCTTTTATCTACCTGGAATACTTTTCTGCATAAAATTTATCTTTGTAAGCTAACTCTATTAATCAGGTTTCTAGCCTCTACAACCTGTTTCAGTTAAAATTGTCTAACACAATGATATTTAAAAAACACTGTAATCATTAAGAATGGAAAATGTGTGATTTGTGTAAAGAACTTTTACCAATTTTACACTGTCCCACAGATAAATGTGATTTTGATAAGAATTCTACACAATGACAAGTATGGTACATAGATCTTATTAAGAATATTAAGTATAAAATATTTTAAGTCTAAATTATAAGAAAATATAAATTTACACATATTAATATAGAAATCCATTTTGTATGTATTTAACATACCTTTAAAACTATTTTACATTTACCAGCTACTTCATAAAGTTTTTTAAACCTCTGCAAAAAAAAACTTTAGAAACGTTTTTAAATTATCAGTAACATAATCTTATTTTGTTTCACTTAATATGTACTGCCTTTGTAAAAACAAATTTAATACAGAATGTATTTTTAAATTAAAATATATGAATATAAAATAGCTCTAAGAAGCAAATTCTCACTGAACATGTTTCTTATGATTTCTGGCTTTGAATTATAAATAAAGTTAAATTGCCTTAAATGATGCAGAAAATTGGGGAATATGATAATTTCATGTAATATACTATGAACCTGTTTATATAACTCTGACTACTAACTTCTGTGTATTGTATTTATTAAAGAGCTGACACTGTAGTTTGTTGTGAGATGTTTATTTTTCTAACAGAGCTTATAACAGTTATGACAAGCATTTAATTAATGCACCATTCTGTTACAAAGTAGATGTTAATCAATATGAAATTTTCTGTTTCAAAATAAAAATGTAAAGATCTAAGAACATACACAGTACTTCTTTATTTGCCATGTGCTACATGACCCTGAAAGCTTCCAGACAACCACACAGTATCACACACAGAAATGTAATAACATTCATACACTAGCATTTTGCAGATGGCATTACATAATTCCAAAAAGATACTACTTCTAGAAAATTGTAGGACTAATGATGGAGAATTGGGGTCATCCTAATTGCCCTTTTCCCTTTAGATAGCTGCCCAATGGTGGAAACAAAATAAATATCCTAATGATGAAGAACTGAAAAATTAGCTAAAAGTTAAAACAGGCTTTATCCACCTGCCAGCAAAATCTACCATCACCCTGATACAAGTATAACATGTTTTTAAACTTCAATTGCATAGTATCAAAAGTCACACTTAAACAATTGAAATTTATTGAGTACTGATGTATTGTGATTTTCCTTTATTTAACTGAGGGGAGAGAATAAAGCAGAAGGGTGAAAGACACATTAAAAATTAAATAAGACACGTAGAAAGATCCCTTTTATGGTTTGAAGAAAAAAGGTATGTGTAACACACCTTTAGATAGAAGGGTTGTGCTAGAGAGATCAGATAGAAGCTACCAGCAAGACTCACAAGGTCTTTCTTGTTGATTACTCATCCCAGTTGTGTTTGGACTGCAGTCTTTCAGGCTCAGAATCCCGATTTTGTTATGTGTTGTTTGACCCAGTTCTTCCCTTCCCCCTTTATTAATAGACTTACCTTCTGAGTTTCAGCAGAGCACACAGTTGAGACTGAAATTCCCTGACTCCTTTGCAGCTAAATGTGGTTACAGGACTAAATGGCCAGTGGGATGGGGGAGGAAGTGATATGTGCAACCCCAGATCTCACTTCCTCTTTCTCCTTTTTTGTCATCTGGGACAACTGGAGCAGCTGTCTTGGCAAAGGAAGCCCTATGCTGAAATTGTCAGAGCTTCCTCTTTAGCCATTCACTACTCACCTCAAATCTGATCCCTGGTAGGGAAAAAATCTCAACTAAACTACTGCATTTGGTGATCTGTTTTCTAATGATGTAGTCTTTACATAATTGTCTCACTGAATCCTCAGCAACACAAAGTACTATTTGCCTTAATTTTTCGAATAAGGAAAATGAGGCACACAGAGAGGTTAGGGATCTTGTATAAGTGCATGCAGCCAGTAAGTGGCCAGGGCAGGATTCATACACAAATCCGGTATTCTTGCCATAAGTGGATGATCATATGTATGGTGAGGATAAATTTTACTAGTTCAACTATCAGAGGTTAACCTTTGTCCCCATGCCCCACAAAACACGTACAATAAGTAAAGTTGAGGAGCTGCTATACATGCATAAATCCTACACAGGAAAAGTGAACAGGCCTTAAAATGACAAACGGAATGCTAAGTGCAGTGCACTCAGATGCCAGAGTTAGGAGAGTTAGGAGAACAGGAAAAAGCCCACAAAGAATAGTATTTGGCTTGGGCCTTCCAGGAAAGATAAATGTGGACAAGCAGAAAGGGGCAGTAGGAGAGATCTAGGGGAATAGTAAAGCGTGTAAAGTGTGGAGACTTCACCCAAGAACATTGAAAGCTTGTTGAGATACAATATTGGATAATGAAAAGCAGTAACCTACAGGTCCTAAGTTATAGAGAGCTTGATTTCCAGGCTAAGAGCTTCCGTTACTAGGAAAGAGCAAACCCAAGTTTTTGCACAGAAGAGTGATGTTATTGGGATTAAACATGGTTACCATACACTTACATAATATAATTTTTAAACTTTAATTTTTATACTCTCTAATACTAAATATAAATACTGTTTAACATTTTTAAATATTTAGTGCTATTAGAGGTAAGGTATACAAAAGCAAAAAGAAAAAATTCAAAATCCAATCTTCTTGTGCCAATCTCATATGTAGGTATATTTTCCTTTTATTTTTCTATGCACTTTATAACTGTTATTATGTAAATAATGAATATTTATTGTAGATCATCAAAAATACTTATAAATTAAAATTAAAACAAATATTACTATAATCCAACCATCCAGAGTTGGCCATTGCCATATATTTTCAGGACACACACACACACACACATGTACACACGTACATACACACACACACAACTATTTGTAACTAAGAAAGAAATATACTACAAATAAGCTGCTATAAAGAAATTTTTCATCAAAAATATAAAAAATTTCTCCATGTCAAGATTTCTATTTTAATAGGCAAATATTCTATCCATGAATGTGCCACAATCTTAGCTCTCATATTCATTGAGAAAAGAATGAGCAAAATATGATACCAAACATCAAACACTAGCAGCAACCTCACTATTCAACAAGA